ATCTTGTAAATGAGCCTTCCGCCCCCGTAACGGTTATCGGGATTTGGCTAAGGGTATCGAATTTCAGACTGTGATCAACGCTACGGCCCATGTACGAGCACTGGTTGATGTGGACCACACTCCACTAAAGTGATCGCCAGATCTTGTGCGTATGCGATACTTGTCACTTCCTGTTTTCGCTAAGAGCAGTCAAGGTAGGAGACGCAAATGCTAGGGGCGGGCGGTCGCTGCCAACGTCATTGGTTTAAAGGCTGCGAGAGAGCATGTGGTCACATCCCCACTCAGCCTTTCCACCAATGACGTTGGCGATAAACACTATTACCTTGGTGGTAACTAAATTATAAGTTCAGGAAAACAGGCGGGATAACATATTCCGAAATGCGCGTAAATTCGTATACCTAGCAGCGCCGAGTGCACACAGTTCCACTCGCTTTCCGCTTAGTAGTACGTAGGAATGGGTGGGAAGCGGAATTAGTGTCGCTCTCGCTTCCTGGTCTCGCCCCGGAGCTCCCTGCTTCCCCCCCCCCTACGCTCCTCCCGCAACCTCCCTCCGCAAGGCAAACTGCACCATTTCTTCTTTCGCGATCCGTTTGAGAAATCTCGAGAGTCTGCGATGAACGAGCTCCTAACCAAACTTGGAAACTAGTGATTAACGGTCAATGCTGACAAGAACGTGAATAAGGGAAGTGCTTATCCCAAACTTTATTAAACAGTTACAGGAAGTCCAGTGTTAAAAATAACCGCCATCATTGCCAACACCCCTTCAATGGAATTGATTCATTCCATGAGTTATTTTATTGTTCAGAATACAGTAGCGGAACAGTGTTTAATTTCTTATCAGTGTGTGCAGGAACAAGTCCATCCAGTAAAACTCGTTCTCCCATTGGACCCCTGTAAAGCTTAGAAAAATTCACCCTCGTTTCCTTAGACAGTATCTTCCAGAGCTCCTTCCGCTCCGCAAACGCTTTGCTTACCAACGATCCGGTAGATCAAGCCTGTTCTGCTGATTCATTCCAGGAATTAGTACCTACATTCGAGGATTTGTTTTATTGTTGAGAGAGTAGTATCAGGACAGCTTCCAATTCCTTATGAGTGAGTGCTGGTAGAAGTTCTTCCAGTAAAAGTCGTTTATCTATTGGATCCCTTTGAAGCTTACAAAAATTCGCCAAAGTTTCTTCAGACAGGACCTCCCCGGAGTTCCCTACCAATCGCTGGCGCTTTGCCAACCAACGACCCAGTAGATGAAGCCTCTCCTGGTGTGGCAATGGAAGAACGGTCTGCGGTCCTCTGCATCTGGAGACTCGATACCTAGGTGAGCGAAACCGTGTGAGTGTGATTTCGTTGGGAATAACGAAGAAGCGGCCTCATGTGCAAAACCAGTCACTATTCCTGGCTAGTTGACTCGACGAATCACTTTTGAACCAACTTTGTGGTGGCAACTTTCATCCTATATCGTCTGTTTGACGCCCGTACCTCAGTGTAAGCTACTACGACACTTTTGAACTAATGCTAGATAGGCACGCCATCGTTGCGGAAATCACAACGCGGAAGGGCGAATGATTGGGGGCGGGGGAGTCGTAAGTGCAGGTCTCATTCAGAAGTGGGAGAGCAACGATACTCAAATGTTGTACAGTCACTCGGGCATAAAAGAGTTATTCTTAGTTTTTGCTGTGAAGAGATCTGAAGAGAAACTTGATGACAAAGGCAAGTTGCAAGTTCAGAACTGAGGAACGGGCGGTGACAAGAATTTCAGGCCCTATTCACCCTTTACTGCCCCAGTCATCCGGAATCGAGGCAGTTTTTGACGGACTTTTTTCTCCGTGGACAGATTTTCCAAATTAAAGATGACCTGTCTTCTGGGCATCTAAAGCATTAGCGTCTGAAGGCGTCTCATGTTCGAAACAAAAATGCTTATCAAGAAGATTTATAAACAATTTATTTGTAATATAGAGTAACAAAAATTGATTTTCAAGAGACCAAATTAATTGTTCAGTGATGTGTTCCACGAGCACCATATTCTGATTCGTAACCACTATTTTTCCAACCACTTTGATGAGCGGATTTTTCGCGACCGTCTTTCGCATGGCCATAGTCTCCAGCTTCGTACTGATCACCGTAACTCGCATGGGCCGCTGATGCCTTAAGCCATAAAATGATTCCTGGGTATTGGAAGCAAGTTCTATTTAGGCAGCGTTCGGACTCGCTACGACGCGCGTCGACGCGTGACAACGCGCTGGCACAGCAAGGATGTCCAAATGCTGAAGAAGTGACGCAGCCGCAAAAGACGATCGATCGGCCTCATCGCCTGGGTTTTGAAAGAGCATAAGGGTAACAGGAGAGTGTGCGCTGCCCTCACATAGTCTGGTACACTCCTATTTCCCCATACTCTCTCGGAACACAGGCGGTTGGTGCCGATCGATTCCCGCGATTCTGCGACCGATTCTGCGACAGCGTTCGCGTCCATAGCACTGAAAAGCCATTGAAACTGTAGCGCGCCAACGCTGCCTTACGTAGAGGCTGCCAATTCGTCAGACCTTATCGTAAGCGCTGTGATCGTCATGGTGCTCCTTGCCATGTTCGTCATGGCCCTTCTTGAAACCACCACCAGAACCTCCAGCGGCATACTTGGAATTGTGCTTGGAATCTTCGTATCCTTAAAGGTCCTCATTGTTCAGCTGAAAATTCAAATAAGGGGAGATCTACCGACCTTCAGAGCCGTAGTAGCCTTTTTGATATTCTCCTTCAGGACCAGATCCTGCCGCGAAGTACGAGAATTTCTTCATACCATCAGCATCTAAAAATTCTGATTACGGAATGGGACGTACCTATTCGTCCAGGCGCCCGCATCGATTTATGCTTATAAAAAAGCGACCTACAGACTCACCGCAATTCCCTCAGACTTTGGCAACGTGTCAGTCTCAAGATTTACCTGAACCGTACTTTCCACCTTCTTCGTAAGACTGTTCCTTGTGACCAAACGCCCCACCCTTGTCATAGTAGTTTCCTCCCTCCACATTTCCATGATCTCCTGAAGAGATAAAAGCGTCCATTTGCTCTAACTCTGAGGTCAGGATATAGCCCTCTCCGAAAATTCCGGGTATAGAGGCCTTACCGTAGGCGGAATCATGATGGCCCTTATATCCATCGCGGTGTGCATACTTGTCCTTATAATGGTCGCCTTCATGACCGCCATGTTCAGCGGCATAATCTCCATGATGGTTGTCCTTGAAATTGAGGAAGGGTTATCTTTTGGGTTATCTTCAAAGCATAAAAGTGCTCTCACATGTAGTCCATGACCGTAATCATGCTCATCGTACTTTCCTTGATGATGATCATGATGATGATTATCGTGATGATTATCGTGATGACCGCCACCGTAATAGGGTGGAATATAGCTGGCAATGGCCAGGGCTAGCAACGTAGAAACAATCACCAATATTTGCCTCATACTGAAAAGAATAACTGTAGAGTACAATGGAAGAAATGCTAGTGGTGTGATACCTGTGAAATATCGCTGATGTGTCGCAGGCACACTTATATACACATTCCTGCCCGTCTGTTTCTTCTTAACCACACGTTTTTTCCTGGGCTCATAATACGTAGATAACTGGTACTGAGGCACATTGTCCCATTCTAATGATTCTTTCCGACAGTGTGGCTTTTTGAACAATATCAGCTTATGCGCACCAGTCCAGCCTGTTGATGAGAATGATTTCCGCAGATGCCATTCGTATCAGCGGGACTATTTCACACAAGGAGTACAGCGTTGAGATTTCTTCTTTCGTACTCTACTTTGTGGCATTTGGCGACGGCAGCAGTGGTTAGGACATAATGAACCGCTTTCCATTGAACACTCTCACTCCTCCGCCGTGTGTAAAATTCTTGTTGACCTTTTTTCTCTCTGTATCTTTTCAAAATAAGCTAGACGCTCCAGAAGCACCCTTTTTTGAAAATTTTTGGTAGTAAAGGAAGTTCGGCACCGACTGCCTCTGCTTAAGCAAATCCTAACACCTCCTTTTCAAGGTTACTCCGTTGTAACGCTGTTGATTTTTAGTGCCACGTACGAGTTTTCATGCTTCGAACAGCCACAACCTTCCTCAAATGTGACCTCTTGTAAAACCAGAAGCATTCACAGAATCCAGAAGACTTCTACTTTCTAGAATGCCCCCCCCCCCACTTTTTCAATAGGCCCGCCACTTGAAGAATTCTCGTTGCGTTTTTGTTGCGACAAAAACAGCAATGAGACAAAAACGGTTTTGTTCGAGCGGGACAAAAACACGCCGGTTGACATCACCTCTGTAATGCGCCATGCATCCGACTCCCACGCGTGTGTGTTGAAAAGGTGTAACTTCCAGGTAAGGCTTCTTCGTGCAAGCACATATGCTCCTACGATTTCCGAGGATATACCGTAATTCTTCTATTTGTTAATTCATGACGTCGCCGTGAATTACTGAAATTCGGCACTATTTACCCCTCACTGCACCAGTCATTCGAAATCTGGTCAGTTTTTGACTGACTTTTTTCACCGTGAAAGGAAATGACCTAAAATTTGTTTCCCAGGTATTTCCACCTTCACATCATGAATATCACATTCGTTTGGCGCTAGACCTCCTGGCGCCCGCGCCACAGGCGCCGGCGCCAAAATACTCTAAATCACCAAATTCGCTGAAAACATGGTCCCATGGGTAGTTTGACTTCCTGATTACGAATATCACATCCGCTCCCGCGAAACCTCCTGGCGCTCACGCTACTGGCGCCGGCGCCAAAACACCCCAAATTACCGGCGCCTGTGCACGGGCGCCAGGTTTCGGGCCAAGCGATAGAATATTCGTATTCAGGAGGTCAAACTACCCCAGGAGACAACATTTGAGCCAAATCTGTCCACGGAGAAAAAAGTCGGTCAAAAACTGGCTCGATTCCGGATGACTGGGG